TCTTTTCCAAATATCCCCTGGGGAAAGCCATATGAAGCCCACCTGGCCTAGAGCGTTACCCTCTAGAAAAAGAACCTTCCGCGAGGTAGGAAAAGAGAGACCCTGTTTCATTTCGGGAAGGCAGTCAAAGGCGGCGAAGACTTACCTGCCAAGGGCGCCAGAGCCAGCAGCAGCCCCCAGAGTCCGACACAGAAGATCGAGATATCCCAGCTTTGGAAGGACTTGGCGTTTATAAACTCCGCCACCGACGCCGCCGGAATACCAATGGAGCCCCTGGAATGCAAGGCGAGATGACCTTTCCCCACAAGCGCGCGCACGCACACCCGGACTTGGTGGGATTTGCTTTTTAAAAGCCTGGCTCGTCGGCTGATCGGCAGCGACGCAGGAGGCATGAGTCATAGCGTTGCCACCACCTCGTTTGCTCCAAGATGGAAAAGAAAACTAGATGGAGTTTGGGGTGGGTGAAGGCGTGCGTGCATTGGTGTTGTGGGGTGGGGTAGGAGTGCGGATGTTGACTACAAGGGGGGGGAAGGAATCACGCGCCTCCAAGTGTTGTGCCTTAGCAAGCTGGCGTGACTGACTTGCAGGTGCGGCTGTGGGTTCCTCCGGGAGGAACACAGGAGGGCATGTGACGACGACGCCGTTGCAACTCGCTTATGGATCCAGATCACGCAGACAGGATTGACCCTAGAAACGGCGGAGCACCCTGCTTGCGACACTCGGAGAGCGGGCAAGGGCCGGGGGGGTCGGGTCGCGAAGGAGACACGCGGCTCTCTCCTTCAAACCAAGACTGCCCGGGCTTTTAGCAGGAACTCCGATCTCTTGCAGTCAGACGGTCTTCCTGTGTACAAATAACACTCCACTTTTCAAGGGGGACTTTTGCCCTCTTCCGCTCTTTAGACCTGCTTGATCCCAGCATTTCCTCCTCGCCGTCTGGCCTGGACAGCAAACTCGTTAGCTTCCGAACCCGAACCATGCCGCCCATTCTGTAGAGCAATGGTCTTCGAGGGGAGAAGCCTCCCTTCTCAATTCATTCGGAGGAGCTTAGAGAATTTTATAAAGCCCACCGACCATTTCCTGCCGTCCACGAAGGGGGAGGGAACGGGAAGAACCCAAGCTCTGGAAAACAAGGTTGCCGGTTTCCACTGGGAGGCGCCAATGAACCAAAGACGGAATGACTGCTGGTGGCTTAGTTTACAGGAACGACAGCAAAGACGCGGGGGTTTAGGAGGGCATTCAGAAAAGCGTCGAGAATGTTACCTTGTGCTCCTTTTGTGCGCTTGTTAAAATCACCAGTGAAGAGGCGGACGGACAGACGGAAAACCTAAGTCCTGGCAAATCATCCTGCGTTTGAAATGTGCAACTCCTCGCTAATGTGTGATGTTTTTAGCTTTAGCGCCGGGGAAGAGGCAGGCACAGAAGAAACCGATGTCCTTTTAAGGTGAACTAGGCAACCTTTGTGGCACGCGGAGGGGGAAGAGGGAAAAGGTGAGAAACGGTGTCCTGCAGAGGAAGGGCAGACGGCTACCATCAGTGAGTCCAGGCTCCTGTTCCGCGGCCTTTCCTAGGTGTCTGAAGGACTCGGCGAAAAGTAGGCTTATGGCGCTGGATCTGAGCGCAGAACGACGGGAGGACCGCAGAGTCCACCGGCGTAACCACTCACCGGTGCTCGAGAACCACCTTGTCCCTTGCAGCTATGCCCCCAACAAAGTCTCAGGCTCACCGGCGCCAAGTGGTTTGGGATCCGAGAGGTACCAAGCGATCCGAGAGTCTCCATCCTTTCTCGGTATCCTCCTTCTCAGGCCCAGGCGGAACTTTTCTTTTCCTTTCCTTGCCTGACCAGCAAGAGCAGATCCTGCCCCGTTTGCCACGCATGTAGTAAGGACAGGGGCACACACACACACACACACACACACACACACACACACACACACACACACACACACACACACACACGTACAATATGTAAATTTTAACAGCGCGTTTGAAAAGGCACATATATAGAAAGATTAAAAAAACCTTCTCTATATATAACACCGAGTCGGAAGGACATAAATGACAGAATTCTGTACTTCATCAAGAGTATTTCTTCCCCCTTTTCCTGGAAGAACAGAACAATAAATCGACCGATGGCTCCCATCTGGCTGGCAGGAGGGTATTGTTCCCCGGGCGGCCGCCGCGGGCGTGGGACGTGCTTGCCGGGAGAGCATCGATTTCAGCACCTCGGAGAGCGGCAGCGCTGGCGCCGTGGAGGCCCAGCAGTCGTGTTCCCTCCTCCCCGACCTTCCTCCGGCTTACTCGCCTCACTGGCCGGTTCACGTCTTCAAGGGGTCAAGCCTCGGCCTCCGGGGTTTGTCCCAGGGCTACCTTAAAGTGGGTCGGGTGGGGAGCGTCTTATTCGGATCCTCAGCTTCATGGGTGGTAAAAGGAGGGAGAGGAGAAGATTAAAACAAACAAACAAACAAAAAAAACTAACAAACAACCCTGGTGGGGCTGCAGAAGCTCCGCTGAGTTTGCTTCCAGGAGGAAACACTGGCCCACCCGACGTGAAGCTACTTTAATTTTCACTAGAAACCCTAAGGTACGAAATGGTGCCTTAAGAAGACAGGTATAATTATTAAGGCATGGTGGCGCCTCTGAGGTCATGCTCAGCCCAGGAATTTATTTTCGGCAAGAGAGCCAGTGGTGTTCTCGCTCAATCCTTTTATACCTGTTTAGGCCTGTTCCCCCACTCCTTATTGACTGCAGCAGCCTAATGTAAGATGGAAGGGACTCCACACACACCCTTTTTTTGCCATAATTCAATTACTATGCCATTTTCCTGCAAAGTATCACCACCTTACCTTTCCAACAGACAAGTTTATCAGTTCTTGATTTAGAGCACCGATAAGATAATTATCAAGAAACATGCCTACTAGAAAGGGAATAGGGAGCAGCATCCTATCTGAGATCTTCTAACTGTCTCCAACTAAAGGCTGATAGCTCTTTGGAGAAGTAGGTTTTTTTCCCTTTAACCGATGATGAAAAGGGAGAATTAAAACAACCAGTTTCTTAAAAAGTGCCGCTATTGACAAAAATACTATTTTAATAAAAAAAAAAGTAGAAACACTTGCAAACTCAGCTAGATACTTAGAGGCTTAAGGAGGAACAGAAATTTGGGGAAATGGTTTTAAAGAGTAAATAATGTTACTGGACTGCAGATGCTTTCATGAAAACAAAACTGTATAGGGAAGCCCATTTTGCCTTATCACAAGTAATACTTTCAGTATAGTGAAGGACCCAACAACACTACTGAAAAACAAGCCAGATGTCAGCAAAATACTGAGAAAGAAGAAATGGAGCAAAGCCTTGCAGAACTCTTAACACCCTCTGGTTTAGAATATATATACTACTGAAAAATAAGCCAAGATGTCAGCAATATATATACATGTATATACAGTATATGTATGCATGTATATCTATCTACTGTATCTCCGATATGTGAGATTTCCTCCAGGTGGCGCTGTATCTCAATTTGAGACTGGGTTTGAGGCTTATTTTAATAGCTATTCTGAAATTTATAAAACATAACACTTCTGACCAATTTGAAACATTAGAATTCTTATTAGTGGAAAGGAGCCTGACATCAGTTGGGGGAAGAGAAGTACAGTACCTGATTTCTAAGTCTCATATCCATGCAGATGGTTTGTGAATGAACAGAACACCTTACAAAAACATCCTACTGAGCCAGCAGTATTAAGTGTACACTTGCACAATGTAGCTCTGTAGGTATTACGTTGGCATTGACGTTCCTTATATGAGTAGTCTACAATGTCCCTAAACTGTCACACATTGCAAAAGACATCAGAGGTAGCCTCTGGTCACAGCACATAACTAATTACTGATCGAATTAGGGATAGCCTTCTGAAATTGATCATTGTATTTACAGTGAAGAAATCAGGAACAATAGCATCAGTATGTGTAATAAATCCAGTTTGACATGTGAATCTTACATCTAAAACCTCCAAACTAAACAAAAAGAGATGGTTCAGGTGACTGTCACTGTTACAGATCAGCAGGTTATCAGTTCTGACATTAGCTAATGCACTTGTGGAAGCCCCCTTCAGCTCTTCTCTGCGTAATGCTGCCTGCCTGGTCACTCCACTTATGACAGGGCTTGCTTCTCGAGTGACGGTATACTCAACGGCTCACAAAGTTGTCTCAAATACAGCACTTTCTGTTTGCCTGGCCCTATCGCAAGGCTAAGTCACTCTTTGTAGTCTGAAGAGGAAAACGTTCTGCTAGATCAGCTTCCCATTTTAGTATGATTATAAAGAGCAAACAGCAAGTATAAACTCTAATAATATAAAACTAAAAACACTCCTTTAGTGTTTAATGCAAAATGCTCTTAATAATCAGAAATGGCTGACTTAGTATCTTTCATATCGGAGCATGTTAGAAATAAAGATAATTAACCACGTACATTGTGACAAAAATGGAGACAGGCAAAAATATAAATTTCTAATTGAACCTTACTAGGGCACGCATAGAGATGGATCCTAAGGATTCATAAGCAATAAAACAGAAAGGTATATTTTGGGTTAAACTGAATCAAGACATGGAAGATTTTGAATCAAACGTAATAGGTTGTGCCTTGCTCCCAAATCACATAGAATGCTATCATCACATAAGCCATGACGGTGATGGTTTTCTCCATTCTTCCTGGTGCTAGTTGTAGCAGTTGAAGCAATTGGATATTCCTTACATGACAACCCAGAGGAGGCGGATGACTTCCAACATCATGTGGGCTGTAAATACCCTGTGAATTTTAGGCTGAACTTTACAGCAACTATCCTAGGTGCTAAATTCTACCCCCAAAATAAGTTCAGCATCCTCTGTGAATTTTAGGCTGAACTTTACAGCAGCTATCCTAGGTGCTAAATTCGACCCCCAAAATAAGTTCAGCATCCTGGATAATGTCTTTAAATTCAGCCTAAAACCTGGTGTAGCTATATCACCCTCACCCAGAGAGTGCTTGAAGCGCTATGGGGCGGTATATAAGCAGCACACTTTGCTTTTTGCTTTGGATAATGTCTTTAAATTCAACCTAAATCCTGGTGTAGCTATATCACCCCGATGATACTGGAGTCAACAGCCTCCATTGGTATAATTTTCATGGCCAAGTTATTGCAATAATACAGTATAGCTGTAATCCCTATAGACCCAAGTATCTCACTTCAGTTTACCATACCTCCAGAGCATTTATTCACCAACAGTGGCATTACAGAAAGTATGTGAGAGAGACTGATGTGCCCCACTACTGCTGTAAGCCCTCTGTCTCCAACAGAGCATAGTGAAGGAAGCCTTCTTATGATCCGCCATTTTACATCTAACCTTCATACCATGGGGAATGATCCAGCACATATGGATATAATATTATTGTGACATAATTTAAGATATTCTCCTCCATTTTTTATAATATATAAGATAAATCTTTAGGTTAAAGGATTAGCTAGAAAAAAATGGGGAATAAAGAGCAAATAAAAGAAGTGTCAGGAGAAGATGAAATATCTTGGCATTTAATTATCTTGTTATGCAATTAGAACAGTAACAATTTTATTACTGGAAGCAGAAGAACAGGCAAATTTACATGCTATGGGAATGTGATCTGGGAGAAAAAAAATAAGCTGTAAGTGCTTGGAAAAATATGTAGAACATTAGTATGTGTCAATAAGGATAAAAGAGAAATTTTAAAAGTTAGTGTGGAGATGGTACCTAACTTCAGTGGAACTTAATCAAATACTGTACATTACAAGTGTTCTAAGATGCCCTGGAGAGGGTGTCAGAAAATAGGCACTTATTTTCGTATGTGGTGGGAATGCGTGTATATTAAAGAACAATATAGTGATTAAAGTGCTATTTTAGGACACGCTCTTTGGCAATTTTTTTAATGAAATAAACAATTAAAATCC